TTGACCTTTTTAACCACCAACATGCTGGCAACAAACGTGGGTAGTGCCCTTCCCAAATCTTTGTTCGCGAAGCCCAGCCATGATGATGATATTGCTCTGTTAAACTTTTGTTGCATTATATATTCATTCTCATATACTCACATATCCACTACAAAAGTTTCTTTTGAGACTCTCATCAGCTAAAACAGCATTATGGATACCAGTTTTGGGAAGGATATAACAGTTTTTGAACCATGTCCAGTTTTATAATTTGAATAAAAAGCAAAAATACAAATACAAAAATGCAGAGCCTTTGCATTTCTTTAAAAACTATTCCTCGGCTCTCAGTTTTCACAGAGTCCTTCTTGGCTAAAACTGAAGATCTTGATAGAACTACAGTATCTGAACCACTTTCCCTGAATTATAATTATAATGTCATTTGTTTCTTTGTGCATTAGATAACAAAAGCCAAGAGTTTGAATAGCATTCAGAAAGGAATTAGCCATTCTGTGGATAATGAAAACTTGCACAAGAGTGTTTAAACAGCAATAGGTCTCCTTTTAAGAAGGGCATGAACTTCTTTTTCTCTCCAGTGCATAAACTAAACAGTAACTGACAGCACAAAGTGAATGTGGAAACAGGTTATTCCATTACTATTTACCTGGGGATTTTGAGTACCTCTCTCTGCACCCTTGAAGTGCAACATGATCAGAGACTGTATAATAGGACTTGATGGGAGCAAGATGAGGCTTAAAAGACATAAAGGAGAGATAGACACATTACAGCTACGTATTTCTGGTGTTACCGAGCAGAATTTTACTGTGATGACTCCTTCACAGAATAGGTGAAGGAATACTATTGTGTTTCAGCTTACACTGCACTTCCCATGCTTCAAAGAAATACAAATACACTGCTGGTAACACCACATCTATCCAGCATTTCCTGCTTCTGTAGAAAACAAAAGGGCACAACAGTACCTTATGTGCTCAGGCTTAGCTAAAAGACTGTTACCCACACCACAGCACTGCAGTCTGGTTTCTTATACATACAATTAATCTAGTAAAAATTCCTAGCTGTTCTGTATATTGCTATTAAACTGGGCACAGAGGAGGCTTCTGGCCTGCTGTGATTAGGCATAATGTGATACAGTTTTTATTATCAGCATGAAAGTGAGAGTTTTCTGGTTGAAACTGCATAGTTTTGCACTCAGTTTTGCAGTGATTCATCCTATTATTATGTATAAAGAATGCATTAAATCATAACTGGAATTACTGCACTTACTCTGAATTAAAAGTTACTTTTCTGAGAATTTTCAAGAGAAAGTGTTAATTACTTCATGCATTAAATTTATTTAATCATGAGAACTTTACTTTAGAAACATGTCAGACCTTCGCTCTGTCCCCAACGATCTGTGCATTGGCAAGTCTGCATTCACAACCCCTGGTGAAGGAAGGGAGCCTGAGTAACTCCAGCTGCATTTCTTCTTTGTGTTGTCTGTTGTTGGGTTTGAGGACTGTATGTCACCAATGAAATATAACTGAAGGTTTTGCTTCAAAGGAAATCTTTAAAATTATATTCTCCTTAAGAGAAGCTTGCAACAATCTCTTGAACTCTAGCACTGAGGCTACATGATATCCTTCTTTAACGGCTTAATCTGGTGACCATCACCTAGTGAGGAGGACAGGAGGGGAGGAGGCAGGCAGTCTTGATTTGCAGGTTTCTTGGGTTGACCTTGCACCTACACTCTAGGTAGTCTTTCCTCCAGCAATGCCTGCTGCCTCTCTGGAGGAGATCCCTGGGCTCAACTCACCTCAGACATAGTTTGCCTGAGGCTGCTGATGGAACCCATCTCTCTCACCACCTGCCCTGATGCATTAGGGATGTGCCTTCATCAGGGAGGTCACCATCCTCCCAGGCTGTGCCCACTCTCACCTCTTGGCTCATCCTCTTCTGTGGACCAGTCAGGCTCTTGCTGCTCACAGACATGCACAAACCAAGTCACCACTTCATGCAGAGAATCTAGTAAGTCTACTGGTTTACTGCAAAGGAGCTGCTGAAGTCAGCACTCGAATGAAGGCATTAGGGTAATTTCTTTGACTTGGCTATTGAACAGAGATCAGTGAAAAATCAGAGTTTTTTTATTCTGTACAGAAAAATAATTTTTTTAGCATAATGTTAATGTTTCAGGGAATTTTCTCAATAGCTTCAATATTTTTATATCTTAAAATCAAAAATGGAAATATCAGTACCTGTCAAGGAGTGAAACAGTGGGGAAATTAGAAAATGTTGAGCTTTTCAGTTGAGTGCCTATTTAAAAAAAAAAATCCATTCCCACATCTGCAAAATTTATTTCAGATAACTGAATTAAAATGTCTTGTTCCAAATCAGTTCAATTTAAAACTATATTTCCTTAAGGTAATTCACTAGACCACAAAAGTTATCATTATATGGTAGTTCTTTGTTATTTTTCTACAGATTAGGCTCTACTCTATTTCTCATGCTTCATGAGAAGTATGACACAACTTATGCAGCATTACAGAGGTTAGTCAGAGAAGAGATGCATGCATCACAAGAGATTTCATTTAGAGATGATTTACACGTAAAATGTTATGTGTATCTGACGTGCTGTAAGATCAGAGTCAAGGGCTGTAAAGAATTCAGATTTTGATGAGATTCTTTTTTTGACAGAAAGAAACTAAGAAGCTACACAAAACCTTGTTTATTTGTGAGCTAAAATGATTGGAAATATATTTAATTAATTATTCATTAATTTAATCAAGAAGAGAAACCACAGACTCTTGAGAGCAGACCCAAACAAGTAGAGAGAGATACAGAATGTTAACAGCTGCTTTGACATTTGTATTTCACTCTTAATACAGGATCACAAAAGGAGCTACCAGGGCAGGCCAGATGCCTTCTGGGATAATTTGCATTGGCTTTATGAGATTCATGGAGGCTCTTGGGAAGCAGAAGAAGTGGAACTGACTTGCAGCTAGGACTGTGATTTACAAGTTTCATTTCTCTTTTCTTTAGGGTAAAATAAAAGAATTTTACTTCAAGCTATATCAACCTGATACCTTCAAGTGAGGAGAAACTCTATCGCTGAGAACTATGACAGCGCAGCATCAGTGCTGTCTACTGCCCTTCATCCACGACATTTGATTGTGGAGGGTGTTAAATAAACTGTCTGAGCTAATGAAAAGATAGTTTTAGTTTGGGGGGAGGATGAGGAAGACATGGTTGGGGGTTTTGCAAAGTCAGATTTCCACCTGCTCCAAGCTCGACTGTGCAGTCACAACAGATGACACAAAGAAGGCAGTGGGAATGCGAGACTGGGAAATGGCAGAAGAGCAGAAAAGCTCCTTCAGAATTTGTCTGTTCTTGCATCAGGTGAAGATGGTCTGTCAGAGCTTTTCATTTCCTTCCAAGGTTAATTCAAACAGGTTACCTCAATCCAATGCAAACTATCCAGTAATTAGAGGTGCAGCACAGCATGGACCAGAGGTTAGTTACCAGGTTTTGCTGGGCTTACTGCTAAGATGATGCCACCAGGGAGCTTGTACTTCAACAGCCAAGCAAATTTTTTAAAAGCTGTGTTCATAGTCTTTATTTACAATTTCAGTTATGTGCTTTGCATATACACCCCTTCTGTTTAGCGTAGATAGGCCTGCATCTTCATACTTAAATGTTGAAGTAGTTTTGCAACAATACTGACTGTTTACAAAACTTTAATATTCAAAAAATTTAGATAAAAATGTATTTAAGGCCTTTGGATGACTTCTGATTATAAGACCCTTCAAGCCCTACAGTTAGGGAGATATTCCTCATTTTTAATCTTGAATCTTCTCAGGTCCCTTTCTTTTTTTTTTAATTTGTAATTTAATATACTAAAAATCTCATACTTCCATAAATAAAAATTCACTTCAAAGGAAGGAAATCAGACACATCTTCCACCACCAACTGCAACTCTTCAAGCTGAGATTTTCAGAGAAGCCCAGAAAAGTTTGATCCTTCCTGACATATTGGAGCAGATGAGGATCTAATTCTTGTAGCTCCCTTTAGAAAAACATCAGGTCTGAGGTAGCTTTGGGCTACTCTTAAAAAAAAAAAAAAAGTCAAATTTTCGTCTCAGACACCTATTTACTTGCTAAAATGAGTTCAATCTCCTTCTCCATTTAATAAACAAAAAAAAATTATCTGATGCAACCATCATGATTGCTTTAATATTGACTCCAATATCTGCGAGGCATTTCTGGATTTCTGGGAACTGAATGTTGTTTATGAACAATGATTTTTCAATACACAATTTCATTTTCTCTCACTCTTTTTAATTCTTCTTGATGTTTGCATATTTTCCATTACAGTAAAATTGACAGTCTCTGAATACACCAGATATAAAGACACTATTAAATGGCACTAATAAACATCACTTTATGCAGAAAGAAATCATGGAAAGATCTGTTGAGTTTATAAGTGGGAAAGTAGAACAATTCTTTCTTTCCAACATAAAAAGACTTTTTTATCTAAGCAAAGACTTATAGTAAGTGGAAGTTTGCCTTTGAGAATTACAGTCTGTTTAGACCAAAGTAAAACTATTTGAAAGGAACTATTAAATAGTGAGAAGTGTAGTAATGTGTAGTAATTCTCTGAAATATTTGGATTTCTTCTTTCAGTCTCAGTCACTTTTCTATGTGCAGTATTCTTTCCATTTCATATATAGTTTACAATTTAAAATGTGAAACAGCCTTTGAGGGCTGCTATAATTTTGCTGTATAGTTTACAGCAAAAAGCACAGGCAGAATACTACTCTCTTTCCCCTGATACACTGAAGGAAAAAACACCGAGACCCTTGAATGTGCACCTAGCTCAGTATGGAAAAAGCATTGCCTAAGTCCCAGCACTGAAGGAATGATAGGAATATTTATTCAGTCACACATATTTACAACTATTCTAATTTTACCGCTGATATGCAGTACTCAAGGTACAATTAATTTATCTTAATCATATCATGTCAATATGTAATATCTCAACAAATCTTTCCTATATATTATGATAGCTGTTTTACTAGGAAGTGTTGACTTCGCCTGGAAAAAGCAGGCAGCAAAATCTGCTTCCCAAAGGAATATGCTTCCCAAAGTATATTCCTTCTCCTTCTGTCTTCCATAGTGTTGCATATACTTGAAAACTCAGAGGTCATGTTTTACCTCTTGATAGTTTTTCTGCACTGCTAGCTTCTACTGCTTTCAAGGGTCTGATATCTTCCATAAAACAAGCCAGATAACTCTAGAAGAGAATTTCTAAATGATTAAAATTAGAGAGAGAGAGAGCAGTAGCACTATTAGGTTTTCTGAGAGATTATATATATAGATTACACGTAGGTCACAACTGCTGTTCCTCAAGGTTCAGTACTGGGGTCACTCCTGTTTAATCTCTTTATCAATGATCTGTATGAGGGGATCGATTGCACCTCAATCTGTTCACAAACAACACCAAGCTGGGCAGGAGTATTGAACCATTGGAGGGTTGGAAGGCTCTGCAGAGGGATCTTGACAGGCTGGATCTATGGGTCAAGGCCAATAGTATGAGGTTCAACAAGGCCAAGTTCCAGGTCCTACATTTCAGTCAAAATAACCCTATGCAGGCTGAGGGAAGAGTGGCTGGAAAGCTCCTTGGCAAAAAAGGACCTAGGGGTGCTGGTCAACAGTGGCTGAACATGAGCCAGCAGTGTGCCCAAGTGGCCAAGAAGGCCAGAGGCATCTCGGACTGTATCAAAAATAGTGTGGCAGCTGGACTAGGGCAGTAATGAGTGGTGAGGTCGCGCCTTCAATCCTGTGTTGTTTTGGGCTCCTCACTTCAAGGAAGGCATTGAGGTGCTGGAGGGAGTCCAGAGAAGGGCAACAGAGCTGGTGAGGGTTCTGGAGCATGTCTTATGAGGAGCAGCTGAGAGAGCTGGAGATGTTTACCTGGAGAGAAGGAGGCTCAGAGGAGACCTTATTGCTCTCTGTAACTACCTAAAAGGAGGTTGTAGCAAGGTGGGAGTCGTCCTCTTCTCCCGAGTAACAAGGAACAGGATGAGGCAAAATGACCTCATGTTGCACCAGGGAAAGTTTAGATTGGATATTGCCACGGTCCCAAGGGGAGAGGGGAATGAAGCCGTGACACAGCATGGACGGGTCCAGAGTCAAGGTAGAGGTGCAAATGGAACGCTTCATCGAGATGTGCAGGGGTTTTATGAGTTCAGGCGAGGAAAGGGCTAGAACATGGGGTGGAGCATGAGACAGACAATCACGGGAACAAATTGGGGTAGGGACACAGGTGAAGGGGGAGGAATGTGGGAGTGTGTGGGGGGGAAACAGTTTTCCCCCCAAAGTTTTAAAATGGTAAAACCCCAGGCGGTGATGACCCTTAAGGTTTTACCCAATGAACGCTTCTGCAAAATATAAACATATCACAAGCAGACCGGAAGAGAAAGTAGTTGTAGTTGTTGTTGGAGAGGTGGCCATGTTGTGAAGCCACAAGCTGAGGGGCCCTCAGCCCCACTGGGGGCTGAGCCCCCCCCACAGCCCCTGACGGGGGGGTGTGCAGGGACTTGGAACAGTGTTAAACTGGGCTAAGTACCTGTAGCTAGAAAGCTGCAGAAGTTTCTCCTCCATCGGAGCAGCAGCAGAGGCAGCAGCATACAGAGAACAGTGGCAGAGAGCCAAGAGATAAGAACTGAAGAAGCAGCAAACAAGCATGCAGCTGAGCAGGAAGACACAGAGTTGTCTGAGAGACGAGAGTCAGCAGCAGAGAGAGCAGAACTAAGCTCTACAGAGAGAGAGAGTGTTTGGGTAAGAACTGAAACTCCCCAAACCCCTCTGAGACCTCCTAGGAGAAGGATGATGGACTCTTACTTGAGAAGAGTCTTGGAGTGCTACAGCACTTCGGAAAGGAGCTGAAAAGCTCAGAGAAGGAATGCGGAGGGGTTGACCTTGTACCCTCCCCCACCGCTGCTACTGCCAAGCCGGCAGTTTTGAGTCAGAGCACGGGAGCTCTGCAAAGGGGACTTGAATCCCCTGAAGATACAGACCGTCACGAAGACCCCTGAGCTTCATTGATATGACCGTGGTGAGGCGACCGTGTCCAGGTGAATGCAGCCCACAGAAGATAAGAGCCTCGACTGAAGACGAGTGGCCGAGAGGGCTTGGATACCCCCTCGTGTGTACTGGCAGAGATCCTTCTCTGCATTTTGAGTCTCGTGTGGTGTCTGGAAAACCCATCTCACACTGGGTTGAGATGTGGGAGGGGGTTTGGACTAGGGAATTGGATTTTGGGGCTCTCAAGCTATGACAGGGAGGAACTGGGGAAGGAAAGGGCGAATGGTAACTGTCTCCTCTCTGCACCTTCTTCAGAGGGAGGAGCAGGGAAGCAGGGAGCAGGCAAGATTCGTGGCAAGCCCAGGCATGCTCAGGCTGTATACTGTGTAGTGTGGATACAATGCAATACACATATTTGAAACCACATAATAACAGTAAAGTCCATATAATAAAGTCCTGTCAATTGCTGTATGTCTTTCTCCATGCCTGGAACCGCTCCCATCCAGAATCTTGCTCCTTCACAGGATATTATGAAAAAATTTCTTCATGGAAAGGGTTGTGAAGCACTGGAACAGATTGCCTAGGGAAGTGGTTGAGTCACCATCCCTTAAGGTATTTAAAAGACGTGTAGACATGACACTTAGGGACATGGTTTTGTGGGACTCAGTGATCTTAGAGGGCTTTTTCCAACCTAAATGATTCTATGATTAGATGTAGGGGGGAGAGATCCCCTTTAAAAAATCATTTTTTGCTTGAGTATTATATGTTTTTGAAGCAATCTGGCCCTGAACAGTCCCAGATTGCTTCCTGTCCCTGTTCCCAGTCAAGCATGTTCAAGCACAGCCCTCAGAAAGCGTGTGTGCAGCTTCAGTAAAACTGTCTGTGGTTAACATGTCTGCCTTGCTCTGGTCCAGGTTCTT